CAGACAGACAGAGAGACAGATAGAGATAGAATGACAGAGACAGGGTCAGCAACAAGCATAGAAAAGTATAGAAAAAGAATTAGAGAAATTCGTTAAACCCTACATTTGTCTCAATGATATTTAAAAAGTGAATAAATATTATTATTATTACTGTTTATTAATAGAGTTTATCACAATGCAGTCAATCCTGCGTCATTACCGTAGCTTTTATGCAAGACTTGCTAAGAGAAACGCCCAGGATTTCAACCACATGTATAGAGACAACAGGGTCGCCTTGAGTTCCCAGCGTGATATTAAAACAGAATGAACTATCCTCCTTTTGGAAGTGAATCTTCTATTCTACCGCACTCGGCAGTCTTGCATGACACTGACATTGGAAACCTTTTCAAGTAACACGAGGAGAGAAGAGGCCTGACAGTGACAGAACGGCAACACTATCTTTATCATTTAATTTGTGTCTCGACGCGGTGGAATCAGGCGCTCGTCAATTTTGAGGCGTGCATAGTTACTGGTGTCATCTTATAGCTTGTTCATTTGTTTATCTTTCGTGGAAAAAATACTCATATATATTTTGAATAGAAGTCGAGATATTAGCGATTGAAGGAAATGGGGGGTCGTCTAGTTTCAGAAGTAAGATTAGCACGAAAGTTTCTCGACTTCAATAGCTTGAGAGTCCTTGAAAACAAAAAAACAAATATTTATTGTGCCTTTAATCTACGTTCTATAGTAAAATCCAAACAGAAGTGTGTTTTAAAATGCACCTTAAGGGTGTTGATCCTAACCCAAAAAAAACCACAAAACAACAACAACGAACAAACAAACAAAAAACAAACAAAAAATTCGAAAAGAACTGCCAAACAGGCGAAACAAATGCTGATATCTTTGATTTAATTAATTTGATGAACGTCTGTTTTCATCACGTAAGCCTTACATACACTGTAGTTTCATAGAAGATCCGGTTCACGGTCTACGGGTCGGGGTGATTGTTAGAGTATAATTAATTCATAAGCTTCCTAAATCCTATTCATGACACCAACAATGCTTTGCGGCTTGCGTGAACC